CAAGCCCCGCCGTGGCATGCTGCGCCGCGCCGTCTTCTCCGACGTGCAACGCAAGGCACTGGAGAAGATGTTCCAGAAGCAGAAGTACATCAGCAAACCCGATAGGAAGAAGCTGGCCGCCAAGCTGGGCCTCAAGGACTCACAGGTGAGAGGGATGCCGGGCGGGGAGGGCAGAGGGGGTGCGGGGAGTCAGGCCCCCCACCTCTGGGGCAGCTGGAGGGCAGGGGAGGAAAAGGGGACCAGAGCAAGCTGTAGGGCTGTGAGCACCAACAGAGCCAAGAGAGCAGCACGATTCCCTGCTGGGTGAATAGGATGGAACAGACCACGGCCTTATTGCCCCCTAACCCCTCTCCTAGGGTCCCCAAAGCTCAGGTTTTGTGGTTCCTGTTAGCTTTGGTACAGGCACATGCAGGGTTTTCCAGGGTGCAACTAAAAGGCCTTTCCTGCTCCCTGTTTCACTTCTGTGTTGCTCCACCCCCCAGGTGAAAATCTGGTTCCAGAACAGGAGGATGAAGTGGAGGAACTCCAAAGAAAGAGAGCTCCTCTCTTCCGGTGGCTGCAGAGAACAGACCTTACCCACCAAGTTCAACCCTCACCCAGACCTCAGTGACGTAGGCAAGAAATGTTCAGGAGAGGACGAGGAGGAGGAAGTTCCCACCGTGTGCCCACCCAGCCCCCGGCATCCCTTAACCTACCACCAGTCCCCAGAACATCTACACTTGAGGGACAGACTGGACTCCCAGATGTCTCCTTCTCCGTCCCATTCTAGCAGCCCCAGCAAACCTTCAGACTTCTCAGACACAGAGGAAGAGGATGAGGAAGGGGAAGAGGAAGAGGAAGAGATAACAGTCTCTTAGATCACCCTGCCTGCCCCTGCCCTCACACAGGGACATTGCAAAGATGTAAATAAAACAGAATGTTATAAATTGAAGAGGTGTTGTCCCACCCAAATGTCCACATGCTTCTCCAATACAGGTTCTTTATCACATAGCTGCAACACTTTCTACTTAGAGGTATTCCTCATTTCCTCCTCCCCCTGTCCCGCCACCACGTGGAGGTTTTCATATCCATAGCATCTGCTAACCTTTTCATAACTCTCTGCTTACCACTCAACATGTGCTCAGTTAGGTACCTTCTCCCAAAAGCAACAGGCAGCTCCTTGCTTTATAGCAGGGAGGAAAGTATAACCTGTTAAGAGGGAAACTTTTTGCCCCAGATAAGAAACAAAAAAACCACCCCAATATAGATGCTGTGGCCATTTCTGCTACCTTTCAAGTGAATCTCCAGCTACTACTGAGATTTCACAACCCTGAAGACTGGTCTGATCCAGCAACACTTTCCTCCAAAAATAAGTAACATTGAGGGACACAGACCAAACACTCCACACCCTGAAGAGCACGATACTTGTGCAACAGACCCACTGAAATCCCTGGAATGACTTCTAAGGTATAATCTAAGCGTGCCTTGTGTAATGGAGACCTTATATATTTATATGTTTTTCATTTTAATTTATGCATCAATATTATATTGGAAACACTGTCTAACCCACCTTTTCACCCACAGACCTGTGCGTTTTCCCCTCTTTGCTATCCATGATGTGGACAGAGGAAAGTGGATATGCCTCTTTGATTTTTGACTGAACTTTGCTGTCTTTGCACAGCTTATATGAACTGTACACTATTTTGTACACTTACTCTGTATGGATGTTTTATACCAAGGTTATTGTGAATGAATATAACGATGGCTCAACAAGGTTTCTCTCCTTTTTTAATGAAATGACGGCTAAAGTACAGACAAATGTAGCTGCTTAATTGTGTAACTTATAAAGAAACACTTTTATTTTGTATTTTACCATGTACAGACTTTAAATATGTATATATAATAAAGTGAATGATTGTCAAATAAAAAAAAGTAGATTTCCAAGTTTGATCATTCAGTAATACTTGGTTTTGAGGCCTAACAGGTATAGAAAAGAAAACTATCTTTTATCAGCAGTATAGTGATTCAACAAGACATTATCAGCTTCAAATTAAATAACCTTAGGAGAATATCTACCTGCCTTTTAACTAGGGAGCAACTTGACCAAAGGATTAAAGATTTTCTGCAGTTATAGCGAATGCAGGTTCTGCCCCCTTACATTTAAATGCAACTTAATTTCTGCTGATGTTGACCTGTTCTCCCCTCTAAAGCACTTCCAACACTCCTCCTTCCTTCCGGTTATTGCCCCGGTAAGTCAGGGTGTGGACATTTGCCCTGCATCACCCTGCTAAGATACTACAGCTTGTAGACTGGGAGCTTGTAATTAGAGTATTCTTATGGGGTAGAGAAACAGAATGGAAGAGACATGCTTAAGACAACCCTTCAGCCTGAAGTCCTGTTAAGGATCACTTCTACAATGCAAGGCAAATCCACAGCTACCTGCACACATTTTTAGATACAAATACACACTACAGAAGCGTCAATGTTTTCCTCCTTGCATACAGGTAGCAGAGTTTCGCTGAAACAGAGATTTCGTTACCAAGTCGGCTTATTTTCAGTTCCACAGACTCTGACTCATGCCCACCACTCACAACACACCAAAACAAATAAATAAATGCAGCAGACATCACCTGATCATGACTACCCCTATATGCTCCACTTCACCATGTGCCACAGCCATGAGAAAAGGCCTGAAAGGGAGAAGAAAATAATTCCAGCTGGAAGGGACCTACAACCATCACCTAGTCCAACTGCCTGACCACTTCAGGGCTGACCAGAAGTTAAAGCACATTATTAAGGACATTGTCCAAATGCCTCTTAAACACTGCCAGGCATGGACCACCCCACTAGGGAGCCTGTTCCAGGTCTTCAGCTGCTCTCCATTGAGGTAATGGGACACACCTAACCCAGGCACTCCTCACCTAAATCATCTTCTACCCCTCCAAGGCCTTACAGCCATTAGGGAATGATAACGGACACCTGAGACAGGGCAGAGAAAGGATTAGGCACATACAGTATTTACCCCACAGAACAAAGTGAAACAGCACAAGGGTTTGTTGTATTTGGGTTTGGGTTGGTTTTTGTTTTTTTTTTCCTGGGGGGCTGGGGGGAGCTTTTCTGAAAAAGCAGCACATCTCCCAAGCATACTTAAAAGGTCACACAAATGCACATTAAACAGCAACTGGCACAATCTACCCAAGTGCTCATCCAGGCTCAAATAAAAGAGTTGTTACACGCATTATCAACAGTGCAGGTACAGGAAGATGTATTGCTACCCATCTATCAACTCTTTAAGTGATAGAGTATGCCACAACAATTACTTATAACTTAAGTTTTACTAGTCTAGTAAGCATAAGACCATTATTAAATAACCTATAAAGACAGATTCAAATTTAAAACACACATCTTGTTTTAAAATTCAGAGGCTACTCCAGAGACCACAGGTACCATCACACATACCACAATACTCAAGAAAGGAGCACGTTCAAAACAAGAACAAACCAAAACCTACTCATCATATTACACCTTCTGCTCTTTACAGTTTGTCTACACTTGGAATGTAACCAAAAATAATTATTTCAGACTACTTCTTTCAGCATAAATACTCTTACATCTTATTCTGCTAGGCAAATATCCTTACTAAAGGAAAAATAATCTGGAATTGCCATTTAACAGGGAAAAAAACCCTTGTGACATATATCAATCTTACTCTCCCTCCTCCCCCTTTTAAGGGTCTTTTTGTGGCAAAAAGAATGCAATATGACCACAAAACACAACTATTTGAAATTCAGGGATATCTTAATACAAAATTACAGACTTTTGTGGGGTTTTTTTCATACTTACCAACAGCTGCTAGACCATATCTGTAGCTCCCAGGAAAGGAGCCTCCTTCTCCCTGGCCTCTGTTTTATGATCCTCTGGTTGGTGAAGCCGGAGTTGGGAGCTGCCCTGTGCCAGCTCACGCAGGACACCTGTGCCAAGGGAAGACCTGCAGCAGTAGCTGCCCTTTCTGAGGTCTCAGGTCAGAGGCATGCACTCATTTGCTTCCCTCAAATGGGGAGAGATTCCAGGTGGTTTAGCAGGACCTGATGATAACCGGGCTGGTTCCTGGAGTGCATGACACTGGGACTTCAGCTTGGGTGTATTTTTAATGTTTCAATATTTTAATGTTTCATGATTTGCTGTTAACATAAAGAGTGTCAGAGGCCACCTCCCCCTATTCCCTGAAGCTAGCTGATCTTGGTGAGGCTAATATGAAACTGCTGGCCCTGGAATTTTATTTTTTTTTAATTTTTTTTTTTTTTTCATGCAACCATGTGCTTTTGGAAAGGAGGCAAGGTGATAAGAAGCCTTTCCTGCCTTCATGGAGATGGAAAGGTTTCCATATTGACTAGTAGCACCCACAGTTTTTGAAACTCTGGAAGGAAGCAATCCCGCATGTAATGCACTCCCATAACAACAGCTGCTGCATGATATTAAAAGCGCTCTTTCTAAAGACCCAGTGGCCCAGAGTGGTCCTGTACGTCCGTTCTTCCTTCTCATGGCCAGGCTGGAAATATCTCACACTGTGGAAATGGGAAAGGCAGAGAGGGGGATTTAGCTTTGGTGACTGTGAGCTCAGGGCAGCAAATTCTCAATTATTTTATCCCTTAAGAAACCAGCTGGTTCAACATCTGTGCCTGCTGGTCTCTCCCAGTGTGGGAGAGCGGCTTTTAGTCAGGGGAAGAAAAGAAAAGAAATTACTTTCTCAGGGAGTCTGTGCTGTTGATACCTGCAGAGCTGTACGGCAGCATCCTCGGCCAGCAGCCCCGGCGTGCATTTAAGTACTGCAGAGCTTGAGAATGTCACAGCTGAGCCAAAAAAAAAAAAAAAAAAAAAAAAACAAAGAAAAAAGAAAAAAGAAAAAAAGAAAAAAGAAAAAAAAAAGCAGCCTTTTTTGAAGAACACCTATCCTCCAGGAAAGTTTGAACATTACAATTATCTTAAAGAAATAGAGCCCAAGATGCAAGGCCATAGTTTCCAGAAGCAACCAGTGCAGGCTGAGGCTCATGAAGGCTAAAGCCCCATCCTAAGGAAAACCAGATTTCTTTGAAGAGATCCAAGTTCAGTCCTCAAAAACACTGATGGAATTTAAAATTCTTTGCCTGGGAAGTTTAAGGCAGAGTTTGACATCATAACAGCTATAGGCTCTGCTCTGTCAAGAGGCACAAGGCATTATCTCACTCCTGGTTATGTTTCCTCTTCTCCACCCCCAACCCATGCACACGCATTGGCACGTAGCTGGGCCCAAAGTGATCTGCTTGAAGAGCAGAAAAGTGGTCAGTTTTCTTGATTTGCTTTGGTTTCAGCTGATCTAGCACCTGGAACTGCTTACCTGTGCATCAGAAATGCATGTGGCAGAAACGATCAGTGAGGATGGGAAAGAGGTGCAGAAGTTCATCCCTTCTGCCAGCCCTTGTTATTAAATGATCTTAAATGTACATCTTTAGGGCTGTTGTATTTTTCAACTAGGACTGAACCTGATCTAAATAAATAAAATCCTTCAAACTCCAAAAAATGTATCAGCACTGCTTTCTCAACTTACATGACAGGGACACCCCACCAGGGAAAGCCCAGCAGAGTAGCCAGGACCTCAGAGGAGTGCCTTTACGGAACATGCACGCGTGCTAGGTGTGCTGATTTTACCTAGTTCTACCTCCCTTGTAATCAGCAAAGGGTTAAAATGCTTCACAGAGTCATAGAACAGTGCAGGTTGGAAGGGATCTGGAAAGATCCTCTGGTCCCACATTTCGTGGGAAAGGGAGCCTAGATGAGAACTATTACCCTGTTCAATCACTTCTTGAAAAAACCTTCAGTGATGGGAATTCTACCGCATCTC